CAGAGCCACCAGCAGTTAAATTTCTTGTAAAAATTTAATATTTATTTTTTTAAGTGGAAGACACGCAATAAAACAGAAGGCAAAACTTGGTGTAAAAAAAGAAGTCGTTCGGTAGATAACTAAAAGCACTGTCTGTCTGCTGCGTCGTTGGCTCGCAGAGGGAAAGAAGCGAGACATAGTTTTATCGTTGCATTAATATTTAAGTTGTGCATGTGTTGCGCGTTCGTTTTCGTCTGGCCGGGATGGGCTGGCTTTTTACGTCTCGCGCCGCGTTTTGTAACTTCTTTTAGTTCGCTTTATTCTTGGGCGTCTGGCAAGAGTCGCAGCATCATCGTCGGCGGCTTTTTTCCGTCTAGACTTGCCCTCTGCATTCGGCCGGCGTTGAGAGTTCGAGGGCCTTGCCCAAACTCAAGAGTCGTGCACCCGCGCAACCGAAAAAAAGGCACACAATGTGCCAGTATACGCGTATGCAAACAAAGCTTGTGCGAGCATTATACACAGCGAGCAAAGTGCGACTTGAGCGCTGATTTATCGGCATGCGGCGAAATAATAAAAGTTATTAATAACCGCTGTACACCGACCGCAAGTTTCCGAGTATTGCGCAAAACCACACGGAATTAATTGCTGATTTTTTTCGTATACATATATCGATAATGTAAAAGTCATTGTTTGCGTAAACTTCCGGCAAACTCTTCGTGAGGAGATGAGACTTCCTTCCTTTTGCCCTGTGAGCTTACACCCGCATATCCTGCGTCTCGAATGTCGCCGATCGAGTCACCAAGTATCGCTTACTACTCATCCGATCAGTCAGACAGACCACCGTGAAATATAAATAAAAATATGCACTAATTTTGAGTCATAACCCAATGTATAAAATTAACCAACGAAATAAATTCTACCTGAGAATTGAAAACGAGAAAAAAATGTTTCGGGCTCTGCTGTAAGATACGATCCAAAACAGAATTGTAAGACAGACAAGACGGGAAATATTCGTGACAAGCGACTAGGAGCGCCTGGGCGATCCTCCCAATGGACGCCTAAATCATGCATGTTTCGATTCCCTCAAGATGCCCACGAATCGTACAATGAGGGCACCGAGGCAGCGCACAATGCATCTAAACGATGTTTCGACGCGTTGTCATTTATCAAAAAAGAATGAAAAAAAAAAAACAGTGAACAAAGCGAGCCCATCGACCACAATCCACAAAGCTGAATTCAAAATTTTACAATTTTTTATTCGACTGTCACTGTCACGATCTGTTGAATCGATGATTTATTTTCATTTATTGATTAGTCACACACGTGACAGTACCCAACAGATAAGTTGTATTCGTGGTGGCGTAATAACAGAATTCTAATTGCGAATATCGAACGTTTGTTTGCGTGCGCATAAAATTGAAGGCGTATTTTGATACGATGCCGATGGAAGCACTTTTCGATCTCGCGCGATTGTGCATCGGTTGCATCTTCAAAAACAAGCGCGCCGCGCGGCCTTGCGAATGTGCTGAGCTGAGCGCGAAGTACGCCAGAACAGCCAGAAGCCTGCGGCCCGCGCGATTCGGTTGATGTGCAATGGGAATATGGGAATTCGCACAAAGGAATATGTTACCGAGAAACGCGCCCCGAACGTATAGATGTGCATATATAGGTAAACACGTTTTCGCATCGCTGGAAATATAACTTGCGACATATGACAACTTGCAAATAACGCGGCGTATTCGTCGGGAAATGAGGACAAAAGTTGGTAAACAGAAAAAAAGAGATTATTCCTACATGTGCCGAGTACTAATAGGGTATTGCATAAAAGTGTTTAAAATGACACTTAGGAAGACTTTGCTATTAGTAAAACTACAAATTTTCACACTTTGAATATAAAAAATGTCTAAAATTGTTTTTACTGAATATTTTAACTTTAATTTCGTAAAACGCTATTTTTACTGCTTATAATCCAAAAAATAATTGATTTATAGTCTAAACATAGCTTGTTTTATATTTTTAATTACGCAAACACCCACACATTATTGACTCGGAAAATCGCAATACCAATAAACTTGAGCCTGAAAATCTAATAAGATTTCCCCGTTTTCGCTCGTTCTCGCCCCGAGGATAAATTAATAACGATATTCTTTTGCATATTCGCGCGGAATTTGAGATATTCTGTTGTTTTACGTTGCGTTCGCACATCCTAAGCAAACAATGAATAAACCAAAACGCGAGGAACATACGCGCGCATGTAGTGAAAAGCGTCATAATTAACAATTAAAGTTTAATGACTGCTGGATATGCATATTAAGCTCGCGCTTCGTTGTTTGCAGAGAAAAAACGCACACGTGCATGTATAAAGCCTAACAACCGCCGCCCCCGGCCAGTTGACTAAATAAAGCAGCCACAAACATGAACTGGACCAACCGAGCGACAAAACGCTTCCATTCTTCATTAAACATTTATCACGCTTTACGCATAAAAATAAAACAAATATTTTTACTAAATAAAAACAACACGCAATTAATTATGTTCTAAGAATGTATCGATTCGTATTGTTCTTTTGTGTGCTGTGGAGTCTTTGTGTCTGGGCAGCTTTTTAATTTGTGTGGATGGTATTTAAAAATGCGCAACGCAACAGATCGCTGTTACTTTTCCTATTTTACTGACAGACGACGTCCATCGATTACGCGCAATGAATACGTAATCCCACCCTGTTACGACGAGAGTTTTTGTTTAGTGATTTTATTAACGCTGAAAGATGCGCGAGGAAAACAAAGAAAACAAAACAAGACGCGCAAATGCGTTGAGGAAAACACAATGGAAATGGAGGCTTCATGTAGGACGTGCTTTGCATTGGCGGCACGTTCCTCATTTCATTACTTTTCCCAAAAAAAAAAAAATCTTATTAATCAAAAAACAAAAATAAATCCTATAATGGATAATTTTCAATGTTACTAGTTCTAGAAAATATCCAAAGATGCACATTGGTGCATTGAGGGCCGAGGCTGCAAAGTGCAGCAAAGAAATTCTTCGACTAGTGGTCGCTGGCCGTCGTCGAGGGGCAGACAAGGGCAGCTCTCAAGTCAGTGCACTCGTTGGCACGCGGGCTCCGCGTCTCCAAGGCCAGGAGGAGAAGAAGAAAGAAGCGAAGACCTGCCACAAAGTGCTCGCGCGCTCAACAAATCTACTACTTACACAAACGCTGCGATAGTTTTCTACATTTCCAGCTTTCCGTCCGTCGTGCTGTGAGCGTGCACAGTGATTGAATACCGGAGCACCGAACAGAACACAACAGCGATGAATAATAAATGCGAGCACACCGCGATTAATTACGCATCGCGATGGGCGAGAGCGTCTATTAGCATGCCGCCTGTCGATCGATTAATATTTAAACTCAAAGCGCACGCCGTCGAAATTCACCACCCCATCATCATCATGAGGAAACAAACCGCGACTAAAAGCATACTTCATACTTGCGTTTAATACTGCATTAGCCGCCGACTCAATTTCGAACTTTATATTATTTTATCTTATTTTTGAATTAGGTTGGGATTAATTGCCGCGTGAGCTGAAATTTCTACGACATAACTTCTGTAAATTGACGGCGGCGTATATTTAATTTGCGTGCATGTGTAGTAAAAGCAAAAGTTCATATTCGAGGGCAGGCGGTGCACGATAATGCAAAAGTTAGCGTCATTAGCGTCATATCGGCGGCGTTGTTATGCCGAGGGCCCACTTTACAAAGCGACCTGCATTACAATACACAAGAAACGAGCGTAGCAAGCAACTACGTTCATTATATTAACTTCATACGCCTGAATTTCCAAACGTTAATTTAAACATATCAATTATTTTCATAGCAATAGAAAATTTCCACATTTCCACTGGAATTTCGTAGGTAATGACCTGCCCAAAGTAGAAAAATGTAACTCTTTCTCCAAGTGAATATAAAAACGTTAAGAATGTTAGGCTAGGTCGACCGGTGCATGATAACGAGTACGACAACGACACGAGTACAAATAAACTTCTTCACTTCTTCTTCATCTCCTCGGGTAGAAGAAGAAGTTATAACGAGCAGCGTGGCGATGGCGGCGAGACCGGTCTCTCGCGGTTGCCCAGTGGGCCCAGTGCCTTCGAGACGTTTCGTAGAAGTAACAAGCGCATTACCGGTGAGAGGAGATGAAGAAGCGCACCTCGCGCGCCGAGGTGAAACGTGATCGCGATGCGGACACACTCACCGCATAATGGTCGAGACTATCAACTATCGGACTGTATGAAAACGACCGCGACCCAAACGATCGAACATAACATTATGGTAACAGCCCGGCTAGTTATTATCCCTTTTCCAAGCCGATGTCGGGAAACAACCTGCTTGCAACTATCTATACCCACAGCGTACAGACGAAACTAGTCATAGAATTAGTACTACCTAAGTATAATTTTGGCTTTGTTGAGGGTGTAACCACCGGAAAAATCTATCTTATTCTTGTTCCATGTACACGACGTTGTGACGCCACTAATTGGTCGCAAGACAAATGTGAACGACATTAATAACATACTTCGAGGCCACGCATAGAACCAAAAATACCGAATATTTACTTTGCAAAATTTGCCGCATCATCAAATAGTCCATATGCGTCAGAATGAGACATCGCGTTGTTCTCGTCATCGAAAACGTGCATGATATAAACGATAAACTGAATGCCAAAGGAAGTTGTAAGTTGTAAAATCCAAGGGCAACAAACAAATTTCTAAATTTACCCACGAATTCTTTTTCTCTACGCGTTGCACAAAGAAGTCATAGGCGTCGTTAAAATATTTTATTACGATCGACTCGAGGTGCTTTTTTATTGAAACATCTATTGTGGATCACAGCAAGTTGAAAACGCGACGGTAGTACCTAAGGCATGAATTGCAAAAAAATAGTGTTGCAGCAAGAAGATGCGATTGTCTGCACATACTTCTGCAGCGCCAAGAGAACGAAAGTGAATGCACAGGTAAAGTGAGAGACTCACCTTGAACACTCGACATTGCTGCGCGCGAACAAGAAGTGTTGCTGTGTATAAACCTGTAACAGAAGAAAAATCAAATTAAATTTTCAGTTTTAACGAGGTTTCTAAAATGGTTATTGTTATTATCATAGACATGTGTTATTTTTTAATATATAGATATTAAGTAATAAAATATCCAAGTTCATATTAATGAAAAGCGTTTCTTAGTTTTTTTCCTCAGCTTGCTTCATTTTAGCGTAAACGAGCAGCTTTCACGTAGATTTATGAATGAGATATTAAAAGCTTGTTGCTGGGGACCACCCCGACGGGGACTAAAAACAACAAATAAGCAACTGAACCGACGAGGCACACACCGCTTCTGGATGCTGAAGAAAACCCGCGCGCCGTCCAAGAAATTTAATATCGTCGCAATATGTTCATTTAAGCTTCTACTTCTTCGAAGTCAAACGAGAAAATCTTCCACGAAGAATAAAACAACGTCTTGGAAGTCGTCACACAGCGATAGCTCAAAATATGATTGAAGAAAATTACAAACTGCAACGCGCGGCGAGTAATTGAATAATTGCAGTGCGGCAACGTGCACCACTCTAAACAATAATTAATCGACGTCGAAAGGTAATTAGATTAATGTTGCATTAGCGATATACACAAACCGTGCGCTGCTGCGCGTGTGTAAACATTCACATATTCGGGTTATCATGTACCTAACGAATGCGTTGTTGTTGATACAAACTAATATTTGCATCAGCGTCATCATCATCGGTCCAGGGGATGAGCGTTGTTGGTTTATTTGCAGCTTCCAACACAATTTACCCATTAAAAACGACAAAATCGACGCACACAATAAATATACACGACAGCAGACAAAAATACGACTGTTGAATGAATATAAACATTCAAGAGCTGGGCTGCTGGGATGAGGCTAGATATTGTTTATAAGTTTGTGCCTGCTTCTGGAAATTTTGAATGCGTTGGATGGCGGTAACGTAAACAACGTGAAACATCTTGTTGAACGCGCTTCTAATTAAACGGCTCCGTACTTTAGGGCGCAATATGAAGAATAAACAATCCGGCTGCATGAAGACAAGAAGCCACATGGCTCGCCTCTTGCACGTGCGGGCGCGCCTGTATTTTTAGACGTCTTCATCAAAAATTACGACGACGCCGGCTGAAAACATTCGAAAAATGTGGAAAAACTGCAGTGGGGAAATTATAAAGTTGGTTGGAACACAAGTTAAGATGAAGAATGTTTGAAAGCGCGCGATGAAGTTTATTATCCTGCCGGATGAACGTGTATGTAATTAGTCGAAAAATTCGTGTAATTCCTTGACGCTTTTCACGCTTAAACATGCCGCGCATCCTTCATTTAAATTCCTCCCCGCGTGGAGAATGTCCGCACTTCTCTCAAGCGCAAGTTTCAATTTCAAACAAAACAACGAAAGTCTACGCACAAGTATGGACAACGGGTACGAAAGTGAAACACTTTCCCTTTTTCTTGGCACACATCTTGGCGCAAGCGTTATGCGGCGTTATGCAAGCGCGTTTGTTGTATACCGTACGCGCCGCGCGTTTTTGTTGCTTTCCTGTCATTGAATTTCGTTTGCGCGATGTGGGCGCGAACCAGCAACGAGCGCAATGGCAATAAATCTAGGCGTTCACGTGCGCGCCGGTACTGTTAGTTGTGCGGATATTTAATAAATAAGTGCCGTTGCGGAGTTTTTTTTTCACTTCGTTTGCTTGTTATATCAGCCAAGGAGCCAAGGCAATGCCAATGTGTCGAGTCGCGAGAAAGTGAACTCGACCGTATCATTAACAAGATCTATTAATATTTGTAGAGTATTGAAATAATACATGCAACGTGTCGGGCAAATATTAGACAATTGAAAGTCAAGAATATTCACAAACAATATAAAACATAAAAAGCCTTAAAGCAGGAAAAGAATTTATAACTCTATAAAGATACTAATATCAATAGGTTTGACATTAAAAGCCAGGAAACAAGGTTATGAAAATGTCTGCTAAAGGCGTGTAAGATATTGTACGGTTGGTTGCCTATATTAGCGTTGTCACACTTCACTGATGAGATAAACCAGTTTATCTTATTGAAATCATCATAAAATAAGTTTATCTCAACTGCTAGATGATAAATAACTAAATAAACATTTTTAATTATTCCATATTTTGATTTTAGTTTTAAAACATGTAAAAATCACGTTAAAACAACAAAAATAAGTCATTTCCAATTCAATTTGCTAAAATAACCAATTTCATGCAGTGTAATTGTAATCGCAAATGAATTTGCTAGTCTCATTTCAGATGGAGCCAGTCACTATTCGCTGCTAGCTGCTAAGGTAAGCTACGATGCAATTACGCAGCGTTTTCTCCCCTGCAGTCTGCATTGCGGATTCGTTTACGTTGCGATATTGCGGGAGCACGAACGAACGTGTTCCAGGCGCGCACAAAACCGACCGATGAAAAGATATATTTTTATCAAAAACTCGTTTCCATCGCACAGCGCAGCGTCTCCACACCGCCATGCAATCTATATATCGCATGGCGCAACACGCGAATTAATGCAATAATTAAATTGTTTGCTTCACTTTTATCAATTTCAACCTGCAGTGTTTGCTGCAGAGGGCTGATAAATAAACAAACAACACAATAGTATAATAAACCGAATAATAGCAGATTGCCTTTGTTTATATTTCGCGTTGTTCTAATATAATAAGTAAGCAAACAAAACATTTTTTAATTAATTGGCGCAGGAAAAAAGCGCGTAACCACAATACCACAATGTGTTAATCAAATAATTCATAGGCTATACGTACGTATACGTAATTTGCGTAAAATAGAAGTCAAATTTTGAGCGCGTACGTGCGCCTTGCAAATATTTCACATACCGTAAATTATGTAGATCGATTGTGATTAAGCGCATTAAAAATAATTTTATTAGCTATTCGATACGGGCGTGCTCGCAACAATTGCGAATCGCAATGTATTTATGTAAATAAAGCATTTCGAGTTACATATCGTTTCCATATCATAATAGAACGATTATAATTATTTTAAATACGCAAAAGATCGTTGCGTAACGCATCGATTTAATTTCTCTTTCTCTTTTTTATTATTTTTATCGGCAATCATCGACAATGATTATATTGGAAAGGTGGCCGGAATTTTGTGCTAGAAAAGAGGGCAGCACTTGCATATGACTAGAGGAAAACAAAACAGTTCACTGAACGTTCGCTGGTCGAGCACCTAGGTGCTGGGTTTCGATTAGTTCTTTGTCTTTGGTCTTTGGCGTCTCGAAGGTTGTTCGCCGTGAGGCACCGCGAGAAAACCAGTATCAAGAAACAGTGCATTGTTACGGCAGATAAGCGGCTTACCAAACACCCACACGAGGTTTACCTGAGAAAAGTTGAGCGGCATCTAAATGAGAAATAAGATTGAGGTTCGTATAAGAATCCACAACGCACGGAAAATGTAAAATACTAATGTGAAGTATGATGAAGAAAATAAGTTGTCCTTGATGTGTTATGTTGGTCTTTTGTTCGTCTGCGTTTGCAATATGCTTTTTTTATATTTCCTGTAGCAGAGTTAGCTATTCTTAGCGTGATGCATGTGCCGCATGTGCGTTTTAAGCAGCACTGCACGCATGCGCAGTCGACCTGAATTTCTGGGTAAGCAGCACAAGCGCATTATCGGATGAATTACGGCGAAAGCAAAAGTGTTTCTTGCTTCATTTGGTGCTCATGTAACTGCGTGTTTTTTTCTTGTTACAAATTGCACAATGCAGCGCACACGATGCGCCACGGCGGTGTGCAGCTGAAGCTTTTGTTATATTTAGACGTGACGGCGATGCGGCTCGCGGGACAATTGTCCCGCGGCGCATTTCGCTAATTAAAGCTCGTTAAGAACAGCGACGACGACAACGACGACGATGGGATGTGGCAACGACGGCGGCAGAGTAATGACGATAATGTTGGCGCTCTCTTCTTTCTTCGCCGCGTGCACTCTCGGCGCCGTTGCCAAGACACTTCTCGCTAGTCGAGGTCGCGAGTCGCAAGCGCGCCGACGTTAACCTAGGTCATCCGTTCTTCGTCGTCGGCAAGAACACACTCGCCACACTCGCGCGCTCCCATTCCGGACGTATGTGAACGCATGCCAGAAACAGCTTGAAATCTGCTTATGACCAATGCGACACTTTTTGCGCGCCGCCGGTGGAAATGTTTAGACTTTGGACATTTCATTCCGCAGCGGGTGAACGCGTGCGCTGCGTGCCGGTTGCGTGTTTTCCTCTCGAGCACGTTCCGAAACTATTTTCGTCGATCCTCTCCGAGAGCGTGCACAATGTCATCAAAGAAAACGCACCGATGGTAACAGTACGCTCGCGCATATCCTCGCAATTCATCGGCGTGAATAGCGCACATTTCCTGGAATTCGGATTCGGCCCGGCGGCCGGATATGGGCAGAAATAGCTGCCACGAGCAGCAGCAGCAGCAGCAGCACACACAATATGCATATGCCTTGTCTACGCCAAGGGTGTGGTGCGGGTGCGTGCGTGTTCGTTCGTGTCGTGCGTCGTCGGGTTGACACCATTCGACGATGGCAGCCAGCGGGGGAGGACCGTCCTCATGGCGCGCTCATATCGATCATCAACCCGTCGTTCCCTGACTGTGTGCACCAACGTGTGTGCACCGATCTATTGGGAATTCAGCAACACAACGCCCAAACAAAGCGAAACAAAAAATTCTGTTTTTACATGCCGGCACACAATTAATTGCTGACAAACAGACGACCAGGCACAAATAATACGGAACGGGGCGCGCGTAACCGTGGCCGTCTTTACGACTTTGCCTGTTTTGTTGCCCTCCTGGCATAACGGGGCGAAACGAATAAAACGTATATTATTGCTGATGGGATGAACCAAAGAGGAAAAAAATCCAAACACAGTACACCAGTTCGATATACAAAAGCTTTCGGAAACATCGTGCGATTTTATGATCATCCCCGTGGTCCGCACGAACGCATGAAAAGCTTTATTTCATCTGGATGGCAATAAACCGTGCAGAAACCCTCAAAATGGTACGAAATATGAAGGTTGGAGCGTGGGCCATGACTTATCAACGGGATATTCATTTTTTCAAAAGATTTCGGCTTTGATTGGCACTGACTGAACAAGGTCAATCGTAAAAATGCAACAAAAACCGAAATCCTATTATAGAAAAACAACATTTACTCGCAAGAAAAACATATCTACAGCTTAAATTAGTTACACAAATATATATATCACTTATCACTGAGTATGGTTGTTGGGGAACCGTTCCATTGGCATGTTTTCAGCGGCCATTTCAGCGTCGGTAACTGTCTGAAACAGTTTGATCCTGATCAATCTCTGAAGCGGCGCGGGTAGAGCTTTGGCAGCTGCATACATCGAATCAAAGAATAATTTTAAGCTATCCTCACAAGGTTCTGCGTTTTCTAGAATCTGACTCCTATCCATGTTTTGTGGTAGGAGGTGATGTTGAGGAACCAAGTCAATATCAGCTTTTCTTTTGCGACCTCGTCTCTTTGCAGGAGGTGTTAGTGTGGGAGTCACCTGAAGACCATGGGGATGTTGGTAAATGTTGGTGAGGGCTTCCAACTGGCTCATGGCTTGAGCCGTCAGGTCATTTGCACTTTGCGTTGGCGAAATTCGATCTTTTATGTCATCAGGAGGAAGCTGATTGAGGAGTCCTTGCTGTGCGAGTAGGGTGACATCTGGTCTGCATTCAATCTCTTCCTGAACATCATCCCCACCACTAAAGCTGCTAACAGAGCTTTGAACACTTTTTACTTTCTGGACTTGCAAGTCGTTATCCATCGTATTATCGTCTGAAGTGTTTCTGTAAGGTGGTTCCAAGGAGTTTTCACCTTCGTAGTATGCAGCATTACTGAAAACCCGATCTTTCATAAAAGGTCTTAAGAACTCCATCTCCTCAACGTATTTCCACGTTTTCAGAATTCTAGGCGGTTCTTTATTTTCGTAGATTCTGAGAGTTTTGAGCGAGCAGCGATATCCATCACGTAGGTTTTTCCAAATTTTCTTAGCTTCCTCACCTGTGGATATACTGCAGTGTGAGTATAGAGAACCGAGCGAGTGCGGTTGCGCGGAGTGTGACTCGCAGCAGGAGAGGGAATAACTCACCAGAAGCAATGTCGCATTTGCGTGCGATCTGTCGCCAGAGGCGCATCTTGAGTATGTTGTGGCTGTACTCCTTGAGGTCGCAGTTGTAAAGCACCTCATGTTCACGCACAGCTTCGATAAGCCGCTGCTGGAGAGCCCTCTTGCCGGTGCTCGCCATGGCGTGCGTGGGAGGCGCGCGGTTTGTCACTGCGAGCGAAGCTAACCTGGGCAAAACCGCGGTGCGGATCTCGCGCAACGCGCAACTCAAATGGTCACACGGCGCGCGCGCTTCGCTCGCCCAGGCCGCCTCGCGGGCTTCGCTCGCGCTTCGTGTCTCCTCGCAGGCGCGCCGATTCAAACGAAGCGAAGCGAAGCATTGCGTGCCCGGGACGATGAACTCACAATCGTGGGCGCTCTCGACCCCAAGCAAGCAAGCAAGCAAACCACCTTCCGCACATTTGTACCATTTCCCTCAAATTTCCCATCTTCATTAAACGTTATTAAACACCCCCGGGCAATAATCTTCCCTCCTGCGCTAGTAGTTCATCAGGAACTGCTCCAGCGTGTATTCCCAATAAATCCTCACTCATATGTCCGGGGCTGCAGCTTTGGTGGTTGGTTGCAAGCCGGCCGGAACAATAAACAAACCGGTTGCACGCGAGGCGCGCCTCCACCGCAATGGGCTAATTGCCAAAATGCGAGTTTGCTCGCTCAATGCGGATACAAAGCGCAAAACTATTCCGAAACTGCTAAAGCTAAATCGTAAATTGAATACGATGTACGTTTATCAAGGACTCGCCGCGCGAGCAGACAAAACGCTCCAAAATTGCCCATTGTCCTTAGAATCCTCAAAATCAACAAGCTTAAACTGACTCCATCTTCATCAAGCACATTTTCTTGCGAAATTAATTAATTAGAAACAAGCGAACGCTTTCATCCTTGAAACTTTGTTGCCCACGACTTAATTATGCTCGTCCTTTGGCATTTTTCGTCCTTTCACGATGGCGCCCACTTTGAAATTCGGCCTTTCTTATTATTACAGTCCGTTCTCGTCAAGGGTGTCGAATTGGTCCTTAATTTTGGTCTTTACATTCGCGCGCACTAAAAAGGAGTCGCCGGGTCCTTTCATCCACGCACAATTTATGCTTTTCGTACAATTAATTAATGCCTATTCAGACCGAATGCACACACGCACCTGCTAAATAAACGCTCGCTGGACAGGATTAATTTAATTATGTAATTATGAGCGTCAATGCGCCGCCGCTTGGCGCGCTGTGGGTGTAATTACGTAAAAAAACAAAATATTTCGCACACTATGGCACTGCGAGGCAAAAAAGCGTAATTTATGTTTTTCTCCTTCATTAAAACTGGTTTTTAACGCGCCCGCGGGGGAAGCAACCCCTTGTACAAAGGTGCGCAGTAAAATGTTTCACTTTTCCAGCAGCCGAGAAAAAGAAGAAAAAACGCTGAGTAAATAAAGCGCGCGAAATTTATGTTTGTGTATAATTATACAAGTGAAGCCTATAAAATTCCGAAAGTAATTAAACTCACTGAGACTTGTAATTTTAAGGGTGCATTTATTACAACTAATATTTTTTTTACTTTTTTCATAAAAAAATAAAACTCTTCGAGAAAGTCTGCGAAACTCACAGCAGCAGCAGGAAAATATGAAAACAAAATGCGATATGCGTGTCTCTCCCCCTTTGCAGTCGGCCTCATGCCACCCTCCCTTATTTCGTATTTCGCATTATGCATTACGTTGAATTTCTCTCCTGCTCGTCGAAACGCAGCCGAAGAAAAAAAGCACACGGGAATTGCATGCGAGGCGAATGCGGACGTACTTTACGGATGATTCATCCATCCATTCGCCGAGTCACCCTTCGCGTTTCCGGGGCTCTCGGGCTGATTCAACAAGGGTCCGTGGCACACGTCCGCCGCCACCCACCCCCGCGTTTTATTATCGCCGCATTTGCACCGGAGAACTCTTGGCTGTATTTAGAGTACATTACAATTCAACATTTTGCCCCAGACAGGTTTTTAAAATTGTACGAAATTAAAAACGCGCACAACACAAACAAGCGCCGCCCGCAATTTGTGAATTGCTCGAAACAATCGAGCCCGACATTGTCTGCTGGCGCTGATGGCCGAATCGCAATTACCGTATTTCCGGCGATTGTTCAAGCACACCGCTCCGAAACAAGTGTCAATTTGTAAAACTTTAATACTACATACGCATATATATTTTTAAATTTAAATGTCAACCAACTTAAAACAAATTACCAGTCCGCCGTTCAATTTGCACACGTAATTAGAATCTAGAAGGACAATCATCACAATCATCCACAAAGCATTTTTCATTGCCATTCAAGATTTTAGCATTTTGCTTTCATCTGGTCGCGCGTAATTTACGAAAAAGGTCGTCGTCAAGATTCAAGTTCATAAATTCACATCGAGCGCGTCAAAGTTTTCCCTCCGAACTTTTCCAGGCAACCGGCAGCCGTTCAAAGAGTAGATTATTCATGCATTATATTAAAATACAACAGGATACAAGACGATCAGCGCCCCACCCGTAGGAGAAGCGAAACTTTTCAACGTTTTAATCAATTTACTCGTGCACGCGAAACTTTTCACGAGACAGCGCCCGCTTGTCGACTTTTAATTAATGTCAAACTTTCGCATTATTCCTCTTATTAATTATCGGAAGTCAGGGCTTAAAATAGTTGCAAAGAATAACACAACTTAAAAGCCCATAGAAAACGGTTTTAGGTATATTGCGTTGTGGTGCAAAGCACGGAAACACAACAATCGTTCTAATTTTGCATTGTCCTGCTGTGCTATTGATTACACATGGCATTTAGTCCTTGGTGTGTGCCCGCAGGCGGACCGGCGGTCCTTTGGTCCCTGATTGTGATGTGTGGCGCTACGCATGCGGGACGTTTGATTACAACGTGTTTGGCTTACGCGTCCGCTCATTTATAAATCAGCGCGCGACAGGATACCCCAAGGGCGACACATGTTATAACTTATCACAATCAACTATCCGTATGCTATTTGCATTACAAAAGAAACAATACTTTTAATTATTTTTTCACATCAGGAAACTTCCCTATTGAATAATTGAACAATTAACTTTAGGTAAAAAAACAAAACTGCCATCTTGAGTAATAATTTGGCACAAGTTGTGGGCGAACTCAGTCAGTTCGAGATTAGTTGTGTGTAAGTTTTAATATAAGCTGCGGCCGCGGCCAGACGAAGTGCGAACGGAAAGCCGGAAAGTTTTCCCATCGCATGTACTTACCACTTAGCGGCGCAAACTTAAACTTTTCACCAACCTCGCGTTCGGTGGTAAACACAAGCGAATAATAGTTTTGCATCGGTCGAATTAAAACTTGGGTCGCCATTTCGTAATTGACGGCGTAAATATACGTACGCTGTTTTCGTTTTTTGCCTCTTAGGCTTAAAACCAGCCGAGTGAAGTTAATAACGGAAATGCAGCAGCAGCTGAGTCCACCGACATCGATTTTTTTCTAATTATCGCGCGTGGCGCACAATTCGATTTGGAAATTTAGCGAGAAATTGCTAATTGAGGTCGCGATATGAGCGTACGCGACCGACTCAGAGAAGGTCGCCGTAGACCTTAGCGCAATTGCTAAATTCTCCAATCGCGAGGCCTTCGAACGTAAAACTAAATACGCAAAAGTTGCGTAGGAATAGTTCACGCACATTGCGCACGCTTTTCCAAATGATTGAAATATCAAATTGATCGCATCATCGCCGAAATCAGGCGCGCTCATTATGTTTACTTGCATGCTTGTTTGTTTGTTTCGACAATTATTTAATATTCAGTTATGTACGCGCGCGTGTTGCTTAGACGTTGGTCGGTGTTGTGTGTTTGGTCAATAGATTTCTTGCGCGGTGTACGCGCACGCCTATATGCATATAATTGTGCGATAAAATGGGAAGAATATGGGTCATTAGAAAGTGATTTTGCAGCGGCGCACGGGTCATATTCATGTACTCGTACATAAAGTACGGCCGTGCAAGCGATTACATTGATTTGATTTGCAAGTGAGTAATTTTGCGGTTGCAAAACGCTCCCAGGTATATATTAATTTGTGTACCAATTTGCTGCTGCGCGCTTGCAATCGATTCCACCATCGATTTTTGAACGATGCAATCTTTAGCAATATTGCATCGATGTGCAACGATGGTGCAACAAGACCAAAATGCCAAAAAGTAATAAACAATAAAACTTTTCCAATTTTGTAAGAAAAAACAACCATGAGTTATTTTGCAAAACCACAAAAATGGTTTTTAAATATCTGAAGCATATTTTTCTGATTGAAGCTTATTAAAAGTTTAAAGAGTTTATAAAACTGACAATTAAGGTTAGGCCAACGTATAAGATGCGCCATCTATTGGCAAAATAGTGAATAAATTATTTTTCCCAGTCATTTGCGTGTCTTTCTTAATAAAAATATTTAACAAAGAATATTTAAATGTAGTTATTAAAAGTTGAAAACTACAAACTAAATGCACATAAATATCGCAGCAAAAAGTTAAACATCCATCTTGCAGTCAGCGAAATCAACTTTTAACGTAGACTATGCTCAATGTTCGATGTTGAAGAAAGGAATTTAATTTAGACAACTTTTTATACACACGCGCGCAGCGCGCAGAGCAAAGGATATTGCAGAGAAACAGTGAAAAACGAAAGCGCCTTTAAGCAAGTTTCACCAATCTCGGCGTGCCGCGAACACAAAGAAAATGAAGTGGGAAAACTCATCGCTTCCCTAAGATGCCTTGTATTCCCATATTATTTCTATTCAAAAACTTTGTTATTACGCTTTGTGCGGCTCGCTTGTTATTTGTAACGTCTCGCGCGCGATTTCCTATTGTCTCTCGGTGTTTACCAGCGTGGAAAACTCACAACTCGACTTGGAAGTAATATTTGCGCTTTAATTATATTTATATTGACGTAAACTAATTGGTTGAATTTTGGGGAGCATTCGTGTGGAATTCCGGTTGAAATTGTTATTAATCATAAACAGAAATAATTTCTGCACTCACCGGTTTGTGTTCCTGGAATTTTCGAATCACCACGTCGTCGGCAAAATTCCTAAAAAGTAATAAAATAGTCATTAAATGGCAGTTAAAACAATAAATTCTTATTTTATAAGATAGATGAGATATTTATTTAGTTTTTCGCTATTCGCGGTGTCCTAGCGAAGCACTTAGACCCAAAAGGAGGCACTCGATAGTAATTTCCTTGGGGAAATTTTACAGCGACTTCGAGAGTCTCGTAAACGAATAAAATTGTGAGGAGTGCGCACCCCATGGGACGCCCAACGCTGCGAATCCTGCTGCTTTTCACCGGTACACTGATTTCGTAAATCATCTGTACACATGCGACTAATTTCCCTCCAGCTTGACATGCACCTTGTTGTGCTAATTATGTAATGTAGCGTATGATATAAATAAATTTAGTGTCATGTTTTTAAGTTTGCAGAAAATGTGAACGATTGGCCACGTTTCTCACGACGGACGTGCAACGAGCTCGAGTTTTCCCTCTCGCCGCAGCAAGAAGGGAAATAAATTTTCCACGTCTCATACGTTACTCGCACGTCGCGTTCGTACGTCTGCAGATGATGGATTTCTACGTTTCTGCCTTCTTTGCGACGTTTTCACTCGGCCGGCGCTAAGGGGTGCAAGAAAGATGGCGAATGGAGTCGAAGGTCGCGCGCGCTTTTTCACGATTCTACATTTCATTTTTTCGCGTTTACATTTTCGAATTTCAACATCAACTTCAAGGCGCCGCCAGGACGCGAGGACGTGAATAATGTATAAATAAGTAATACGTTAAACTTTCTCCCCCCGTAGCATAACATGAGGACGAGTCTACAATTTTAAAAATATTCCCCAAACTGAAAATTTAAAAAATCTTTCTTTTTTACGCAGCTAAATAAAAAGCTTGCACAAGTTGGCAAACAACTTTATTTAGTTATTTTATGGCAAGACACTTTTGCTTCTACTTCCAACTGAAGGAAGGCGAGGGGTTCCCTCAAAATACACGAAGATCAAGGCAGCAAGTCTGCACCGATACCTAATGTTATTGACTTCTCGGGTAAAAGTTTCCTCAAGAATTTCGACCCTGGCGAATGGACAAAACTTTCTGTTTTAAGAATGATCTCGGTCCGCGCAGAGACAGTGCGTTGCACAAAAGCAATAATGTTCGTATATTGTATGCGGTCTAGTAAAGTCAGGACACTATGTATGAAGGATAAAAACACTCAAGCGGGGTTTTCCACGCGAACAACTTCAATATCGCTCGACAATACAACGCAACGGGTAACGCCACAGCCGGCCGAGGACACTTCAATCCAATCATGCAAGGACTAAAAATCTCATGCTTCAATAATCACTAGGAAGTACGGCAATGTGAGGGAAATTTGCGAACTTACAAATGTGCACCATAAAGGAAGTAGTGAATGTGAACAAGATAATTTAAGTAATTTCGAATATTCATTCAGAACGGTAAAATATAGCCGAGTTGTTTGCGTATTGTACTTTGAGGTTAGGTTAATAAGCTTGTTGGTTATTGGTTAATAATAGGTCATGCCAAACTACAGAACTCATAGGAATTTATCCGTAATGACGAGGAAACTCACTTGTCCATGACGCATGTCTTCGGAATTTTGTATTTGAACTTTTAAATTTTAAAACTTCGAATTTCGTTTGCGCACTACTGGGAAATGTAAAGTTATAAACACATGGGAGTAAGTTTGACTCACTGCGCATGACATTTTAAAAGGCCATATGGGTAAATGCGATGTCAACGCCGCCGTGGCAAATTTTACAAGCTTCAAATCAAAGCAATTTCAAATTAAAACACTTTTAAAAATTAAATTAAAATGCGCACTATACTTTCATAACATATCAATGGCATAAACATTTTCCAACTTAGACATTTATTCCTTTTCAGGAATCTGTTGTCAATACGTTTCAATATCATAGAAAAAGAACCGAGAAAAGTTGACATCACCATCAGAATTATACCAAGTTACATTTCATTAGTTCTCGGTAAATGCAGAAAGTTTTGTGTGAAAGCTTCGTATGAAAAGCAAAGTTATGAACAGCGATAATAACCCACAGCGAGGGCGAGAGCAAAGGCGGTTCGCTGAAAGTGTAATATGAAAAACGTGTGCAACGTGCAATGGCGCATCGTGTATTTATTATATTGACATTCTGGTCATGTCGTGCTCATCCTTTCATATTGCACACTCACACACATCCGAGCGCACATAGTAAAATGTGAAATGACATAATCAAGTCAGGTTGTTCAATGTGTTGCCGGAAAATTACTTCTCGGAAACAAGAAGTAGTAAAGTAGTAAAAAAACTTCCACATGAAAGATTTGTTCATTTCAACATTCCTACTTATATTGCACAATATTTACCAGTTGCAGCTACATTGTAAATAAAAAACTGCAAAAAAATAAAACTCACCTTATTCTGGTGTCGCACAGTTACAAAATTATTAATATCATGTGTATATCAATAAGTAACAATGTATTAATAAGTTGTACACTGTGTTTTTCAGGTTATTAAAAGTTTACACTAAATTTATCACAAAACACTTTTATTCGCACATTTTAACCTCACGCTGTGTCCACGTTGTGACCGTTGATCGCGCACGCTTGCCGAAAGAACGCCGCCAGCAAAAATGAAATATAGCTGCTGTCAATAACGTTCGCAAATCCGTTCGAGATCGAGATGTTGAGATGCACCACAATGTTTATCCGCACCAACTCACAAACGACTAACATTTTTCATGAAGCGTTAAATTCTTTTCGACTAACACTGCACATCGTGTTAGCCGCCGACAAATCCGCTGAACTGATTATATCAGTAACCGGTTTGGTGGTTTCGGCACGATCTGGACAGTTTTCAGCGCGCTGCGCCTTGTTGTCAGTTTTTGTCTTCATTACTTTTGATTTGCGTGGTTGCATTTTATTGTGGGTTCCTAAGTAGCCTGCCTTCGCAATGCATCACTCTGTCGTTCTTTTCGTTCTTTTCCCCGTCCGAAAAACAAAAATCCTTTCTTCTCACGTTTCGAGCTGCTGCCGACCACCGCGTTAATGAAAATAAATAATGCACCTAATGAAATTGTATCCCGTTGTTGTGTCTCCCAGCGAGCACAAAACCATGTGATCATTATTCTTATTCAGGACACTGCACACAGTTCACCCTTAGGCTGAATTTTCCATTTTTGTTTTTCAAGGCACATTAACCAGTATGCGAGTAAAATGGATACAATTAATTTACTCCTCGTTATTTTATTGCATTAGATGATTATATTATCGATGAGAATAATTGGAAATTGCGAAACAATATCAAATAAATTGATGACAAATAAAAACAGGACTTTATTTCTCACGTGGCTGTCGCTGTAAGAGGATACTTGTGCGAATGGCGGGCGGAAAAAGAAGGAAAGCGCATGTATAATTGACGGCATTCTGAGCATTTCACCTTGTTCGTTCGTTTCCAATTTCCGCAGTTATCCTGCGGTTGTGGCGTGTCTTTGTCTGCTTGTTTGCGTTTTTCTTTGTTCGGTTTGCCAACTATGTTCGATAATTGCTCAAGTTTAGCAAGTAGATTGTTTGCGTATTTGTTTCCTTCGCTTTGACAACGTCAAATAAATAAATATAAAATAAATCCAACCGCGGCTGCGGAGCGTAAGCACTCCGGTAAAAGTGTTATCAATAATTTCAGAATTTTTATGAAGTATAAGCCACTTTAGTCTCGGACTTGTGGGTGCACTGCAAAACGTCGGATGAATAATGAATTTTCCGCCGTGTTCCGCTCGCCATTTTTCCCATTTTTATCATTGTTAACTGTGTTTCCTGTACGGGGGCCGTACGCGCTCACGCTGTCGGAATACAAAGTGCCGTTTCGAGCAGGAACTTCTCTCGCCCTGCAACGCGAAAAATATCAGCAAATAGATAACAACTCTTCAATTATTTACTTCTTCGTTGTTCCAATTTCAAAGGATTCCGCAGGCGGCAGTAGTAATAGTACCACACACAACGAAAATAAACATTACTTGTTGCTAGTAGGATTTGGAACATATTTCACGTTATCCGTGAGTGTTATCCCTTCAGTGGCAAAAATGGAAATTTAAAAATTTCAAATTCATGTTGTCTTTCGGAGATTCAGGCGGTGGGTTTGCTGGAGAGCGCGCAGGTGTACGGATGCTTTTAGCGATTCATCAGCGTCCTTCGTCCTGCGCCGAGGCGTCGAAGCGGACGTGCGATTTGCGGCGAGGATTGCTTAGCATAATCGACCCGTCGGGGGGAAAATCACAGTCGAGGTCGCGAGCAACACCGCCGAAAGCCTATCTCTCTTCGACATCCTCTCTCCCCACGGCACAAATCCTGGGTTCGTACAAAAATGAATCTTTGGCATGCCGGGCGAGAGGATTTGCTTCCGGGCTAAACCACCTCAAAGTAAATAACATAAAATATGGATTATTTCAGCACGTGCCTGGGCGAAACAAAAAGTTAATAGGGTCTAAAAGTGTGGAATCTAGGAAAAGTTGGAATTAAATTTCGTCCGAACCTTAAAAACTGTTGCTCCGCTTGAGAGGAGTTTTTGAAGGCGCTGTTCAGTTCGACGCTCGTGTTGTTCATGTTGTTAAAGCGTCTTGGCGAGAGTGCACGCCGCTGGAGGAGCGGAGCGATGAATAATAATAACGAGGCCACTTTGCTATTCATAAAGTGCTCTCTTGCCGCCACCAGCGTCGCCGCCCGACAGAGTGATGACGCGTAATTCGATTACCCATTCGAAATACGTCCGACAATCACCATCAGATACTAATAAAAACAGAAATCTATTTTTTAAACTGAAAGATAAACTCAACCCAACATTACCAAACTTGAAAGAAATTTTTAAACTGACTTCATCGACGGGTACAAGTACAAAGCAAGTTGAACGTTGTAGCAAGACGTCGACCGGAGATGGAATTTTCCCAAGTGCACCCCAAGTTTCCCAATTACCTTTGATATCTTTGATGGATTTTCCGCAAGCGCGCTGCATTTAACATGTTCCATCAATGCCATCAAAACAGAAACTATTATTTTAGCAGCGTCAGTAAATCGAATAAAATTCGCCCGCTGCGTCCAACAATATTTTCCCGGAAAACATTTCGATGATGAAAATGTTCGCGCATTGCAGGTGCGCCCGCAGAGATGATGAATGATTTCATTCTTGCGGAAATGCGGTGATTTGCAGACGTCTTCTTCGACTAATCAGTGTGCGGCGTGCCAGATGCAGTGAAGAGATGCATAATTAACGGAAGACGGGACCTGGCATATTCGGGGAAACTTGGAAAATTGATTTTATGTAATATTCAACTAGATAAGAGTAAAATTTAAAAAAAATAACAGTTTCATGTTAGGATATAAAATACTAGTGTTTACAGATACATAAAAATAAAACTTGTTCACAAATGCATTTTTTTTTTCATTTGATTACATCAAATAAAAAACGTGAATTTCAGTTTTCCCGTTGGCAGTTGGATTGAGTACTTAGCCTTCAACAATACGGCAGTTACGTAAACGTGTAATAACGCCCTTTCTTGCGTAAACCGTCCATTATCCTCGCGCAACGTGCCGCCGAGAGAACTCCATGTTTTATCGCGGCCGAGTGTTGCGTGCGGTCGTCTTCCTTGAATGAATTGGAAGCGCGCGGGCGGCGTGTGCATGAGTGCAGGTGGCGGTGGCGGCGGCAACGGCGACAACGACAACGTCTGCAGTTGACGTCAAAGCGAGCCATCGAAAACACGCGCGCTGAAATACCAATTAAACTCGCAACTCGCAACTCACAATGCCTGGACCCCCATTAAGCAAGGGTGTCATGTAAATCGATACCACCCTCAGTCGATTACATAAATTTATTGCATTGTCGTAGTGTCAATTAATCGCAAAGCGATTAATAATTATGTCGATTCGGTGTGTTTACTTATTTTCTGTTTGTGTGCGAAATTGTCGGACGGCTTCAATCTGCTTTTACATCTAATAAATTCGGTGCGATTGAAGTTTATTGAAACCTTTGCCGGGTAGTTAATCTCTCAGCTTCGCAAAGATGCTGCCAGGCTACTTTCTCACCCTCCTTCTTCTTCCCGCGCGCGCTTTGGTAGCTTGGTTGGTTTTCAGCGATTTTATTGCATTTTCAACGCGTTCGACGCGCGCGGCCTTTGCCCTTTCACTCTCAATCCACCCACCGACTTCATCCATTACCCGGCGCGCACTACATTTTCTTCACTTTTACTGCGCTTTACAATGTTTTCCCGGTATTTTATGGTGATCTAATGTATTATTTTAGGCTTTTTCCGCTACAAAGCGGCGAATTTATCGCGAGGCTGGCAACATTAATTAATTCTTAATATAATGTTACTTAAGGGGTAGTTTATGGTCGTGGCGCGCAAAGTGGGCAAAGTGTGTTTTCCGTTTGAGGTGCGCTCAAGTTCGACACGCTTGCCGGTCGGCCGGAAACGTTTCGAAATTGATTTCGGTTTTAATTGCATTTCGTCCGGGGCGAGCGGCACTGGCGGCGGTAGTGGCGGTGGTGGCGGCGTGTGTGTGTGTGTGTGTGCACGCGCACGAAAACGCATTAAACGTTCGGTGCTCTGTCACCCCTCGTCCTCTCATCACGGCGTCGCATAATTTAATCCAATCGCTCGCGCCTACGCCGATTGCGTTGAATATTCATGCGCGCAACGCGAATGTTCTATTTGCCCATATTTTAATAACACACACACATCATCAGAATGTTGATAAAATGATTGCTTTGTTTGCATGTGTACATGCTGTGATACCTTTGCTTTTTTTTTGCGCTGAACGCGTGCGTAAAATGCAAAAATTTCGAAGGTATAATGCATGCGTGTGCTCTTTGGTGGCAAAATGATGGTAACGCATCGCCAGTGAGGCGTGAACACCAGCAGCCGCCCCCGCCATGCGCACAAAGAGCCAAAATCGGCGTGCCCGGGACACTCAATTAAAAATGGCAAATCGGGCGTGATTACACTCTAATGCCTGATGCCTCCCCCAATGGACGTCGCTTCCATGCATGCATAACGAGCCGCGGGCGCGTGACACGAAAGGACAGAACTCGCACCGCGGTGGGAATTAACGGATTAATTCCGGACCCAGCTTCGGCTACAATTCGGATTAAACTAAACACTAAATTCTACACGCAAAAAAATATAACGCAATAAAAATCAAACTGGGATGTCAAGAAAGTTGTAGGCTTTTCAAATCCTGTTTGTTCGAGTCCTGTCATTCTATCCTTGATAATCCTTGCGAAAATCCTTCGCCCACTATAACACATTAAACACCTCATTAATATTCATAACTTTGGTTTGCCGCGCGGCTCGTTAAGGACGTCCGTTTTGTCTCTAACGGCTTGTCTCCTCCACCGCCTCCACCCTTACACGTGTACTTGCTTGCATCAACTTAAATGCAAATCGCGTTGCAATTTTGTCAAATTTCAACCATTTCGAAGTGGAACGCCGGGGAAATTTACATTTTTATTGAGTGGTGCAAAATTTCGATTTTGCAATTCGAATACATTAACGCGCAATAAAAATTAAATTAAATCCACGCAAACGAACAGCAACAAGCTTTCACAGCGTGGCTAAAGTGCGCAGACGCGCAATAATTCATTTACGCAGCGATGTGATGTCGAGCGCCATTTTGTTCCAGTCGAACAACGAACAATTTTTGCTTTTAATTTAATTAAACAGCGGGAAACCAGTCGATAACATCAAAACTACACGTTTTGTTGCTTACTGGTTTCGTTGCATACTTTCAAACATTTAACATTTATTAGTTTCTATTTTTAATACAATTTAAAATATAATTTTCAGCTTCAAATAACAGAATAAAATCAAATAATATTTTGATTAATTTGAAATAATATTTATTATAAAATTATTTCCCTTTGTTAGGTACCTGTAATTGATATCATGCAGGAATTTTATATTAATTTTACTAATGAAGAGAAAATTAGAAATATTTAATGAGAAATCCAGGTTTGAGTTTGCATGGTACCGAGTGTCACCATATTATTTAAACATATAAATTATTACCAACATTAAATCACCTTTTGTCATACAACTGCGATTTATTCGACATTTTGTGAATGTTAAGCTTTAATTTCAGGATCTAAAATAGTTTTTATTCTTTTCTATGGTCCTATGTATCTCTAAACTTAAATTTACCAAAATTGTTTCAGTGGTTTAGACATGAAAAGAAAACAAACATACGAAAACTTATTATAAGTACGAGTATGACTCGTTGGTTGAAAACTTTAAGAATAATTATATTAACCTTTATTGATATTTTTATACTCCTTTAGTAAACAACTCTCATTAATTCTGGACGCGCACGATTTCGGGCACAGCATGGGGTGAAATAAAGGGGATGAACGGGCATAAGTGTTCTTTGTCACGACACAGACTGTTTTGTGTCTCGTGTCGGCGGGCACATCGCAACCGCAGACTGTGGATAATAGTTGTTCTCGGCGTGTCCGCGTCTGCCGCCACCCCCAAGGGTTAATACCGAGCCTAATAAATTCAAGTGGACATGCGAGACACCATTACGGCAACGTCACGCCACAATTTTCTTTATTTCATGAACAGTTTCAGAACTGAATAGCGCTGAAAAACAAAAAAAAGCAAATCAATTACGGCAACTTTGATTAAAGTTTGCGTTTAGAGTAAAAAATGTAAAAAATAATAAGTATTATCTAAGAGTAGTTTATTTTATGTTTGGCGACGACAGCAAAAAAAAAGAAAAGCAAGTTTAAAGCAAGGGAACCTTTTTGAGTGCCAAAATGTTGGGATGTTGTCGGTTTTTTTTCCGGACGAGGACTCCACTCAACTTACCCTTTACGGTTCGCCGAATTCACCAGCTGGTCCATAAGAAATTACCATTGAGACGCTTTTCTTGAAATAATATTTAAATCAGAATATTAATTTTAAAACTTTCAGATTAAATTTAAATTTTTGTAAATGTGAAATTTTCAACATAGTAAAATTTACCACGTGGAAATTCTAGAGTTATTTATTCATATTTCAGTGAAAAATGTATAATATTCCACGCTACATAGAAATCGTTCAGGCACAGTTCGCGAAAATGCATTTTGCACTCGGTGAGAAAACCTGGATACAACAAGTCTAAGTGTGCACATTGCATGCATCGCCAAAGCCGTTTTTAAAGCACGAGGCGGAAAGGACAAATAAGAAAAAGTTTTCCCACGGCGCGCAGCGGCAGCGTGTGTGCACAGACAGATGGAAAATTGGGAAAATTCCTTTCAGAAATCCCTTTTGCGTGCGGCTCAACGCGACACGCTTTCACTCGCCGGGAGCAGAACGTTTTATACGAAGCGCCGAGAAATAATATGCGAAATTTTACCCACTTTGCGAATTTTTCGAATCGCAGTCTCGTAATAAAAACGGACGACGAATCATGTCAAGCGGAAGGAAATATGCAAACTACTTATGCTTCCAGCTAGAGCGCATTCAAGTCAGTCCCAGAGGGTGAATAAAAATTAATGCAATCTATGCGAAAAATCATTTATAATTCAACTACACATGTAGAGAAATTTATTTCTGCCGTGTCCCCGAATAATAAATTATTATTTTTACTCCTCTAGGGCGGTAAAATTGATTTTCTATGAAAACGGACAAAATATTTTGTTTCTTAATGCATGGCGATAAAAAGTAATGCGGAAAGTATGTGAGAAGCAAAAGTAAAAGGCACCCCACGCCTAATTTCCATCCTATTCGTTTTTATGCGCCTCACATATTGCGCCGTTGATGATGTTGTATTTTGTTGCTACGGCGGCTGCGCTTTCACTGCTTGCCGAATGCATTTTTCATGTGCTCGCCTTGCGTCCTTACCTTCCTCGGGGGCTGTTTACATTTACATTTAAGACCACCACACCACCACCGCCACCCCGCGTTCTCCATTTCGTCCTTTCATTCGCCTCCTTGGCGGTGAGGTAGCAAAAAATAAACTACGCAATATAAGCAGACGTAAGACGCTTGCCTGCCTGCTTGGAGTGCTTTATTTTGATGCGTGCGGAAGATGGAAACTCAAGGGATGAAACAGGACGATTACGAAATAAATATATTGTCGCGTATAAAATTAACATTTCTATTGCCATCAGTCGGCACCAGTCGAACGTAAAAAAAGTATAGAGGCGGTCTAAATGTTAGCCAAAAATAAATAGGACTACTCTAATCCTTATAATGATCAATCGAGGTTGTTGTCTTGTTTGTTGTTTGCTCATTTACCGTAGATCAGATGCAGAGTGCTCAATTTTTTTCGATTCTGCTTCCGCTTGGTGCGCACGTAGAGAACCTGCCGACGTGTTCTCGTGGGAGCCGCCACCGTTATCCTTATTGCGTCCGCCCGCTTTGTTTCCGGCTGCGTTTGCGTAAACGCTTTGTCCTTAGTCGCTTCAGCCGGTTGAGTTGCCACAACCGCTGTCCTTCCATTAGCACCATCCTGGGCACCCATATCCGTCCCCGCGGAGACAGCACCAGCGGTTAGTCCTTTTATCAAACTTGCTTGAGGGTCCATTTCATTGAAATCCACCTGCGCGGGCGCACAACTCGCCGCGCATACCAGGATAACAAAAATTATTCCGTTTTTAATTAAGTCCTGCAACGAGCCAACGAACAAAAACCGTCAGGATCATGAGCGTATGAATACATAAAGGAAACAAAACATGCGCAACAAATAACAAAGCAGCACAAAGAAACGAGCAAAAAATTAAGCTGCGACTAAAGTTTAGAGACCGTTCTCTCGGGTTTTTTTTTTTTGCAGCCCGTTTAAATTTCCGCATTAATCCGCGCGTCGTGCAATATTAAAATTTCCATCAGAGTAAAAAACCGAACGATTCCCGCACGCCGGGCGAAAAACGTAAGCTCGCACTTAAAATACGCGTATTAAATTGGCCGTAAAAACACAATCATTTCAGTTAGGACACTGTTTCCCAACGCGGCAGAGGGTTAATATAAATATGTTTCGGCTTCGCTCTGTGACGGTTTCGAAACGTAATCTCAATCGTATAAAACTTTGTGTAATAATATTATCCGAGCTGGATTTTCATTAAAATTTTAACGTCTATTGCAAAATATTTTAACGCATTTATGAATACAATACTTCTTTATGATTATAACTCACCATTATTAAAATCGTATATTTTAAAGGTAAATAATATTAAAATTGATGTGTAGCTAGTTGTAAAGTAATGTTGTATTGATTGCGCAGCGGATACTGAGTGCTCTTTTATAGTCTCGCATTGCGTCGTGGTACAAGGTGCAAATTAACACTTCCACCCGACAGATGCCATAATTCCTTCATAATTTGTAGACAATTCCAATTGACAATCCATGATTGTGTACACGACAATGTAAACACGCTAAAAATACATTTACGGTCATACAAAGCGCAGACAATTACCACTGGACCACAAGATTTGCTTGTATTTTCCGCACCACAAAATATTCCAAACACACTGTTAATGTGCAATGAATACAAATAACAACCGTTTATTTGGTTCCTTTTTGAGTGTCAATATTTGTGGAACCATTCACGAATTTAGCGGCCTGATGAAAACAGGAGCACGTGAACAATCTAATTATAATCAGATGACTAACTGTTTTGTTTAGACTTTTAACAACAATAAATAATTACTGTGTATTGTGTGGTAAGTGTGCTTCTAAATGTGTAGAATGTAATCACAATTAAATTGGATAATTTCGCGGTGGCAATTGGTCCATAATTGCAATTTATTACACCATTTGCAGTTTCTCGCTGCCTTCACACCCTTGTTTTTACTGTTCTAGGAGGGATGCGCTAGGGGAGGGTTTTATTGTTCCAAGCGGTGGTCAATATATTCCAGGCACTTGTCAGCGAAGGGTTATTTCATACAAAATTAGAATTTAATATCCATACGTAATAAATTTACAAAAGCCGGTCAATATTTTTCATTATTGAAAAACTAACCTAACTTTTTTGCTATCTACAAAATGCGGCAACCCAACAAACACCAGCTTTTAATAAGTTGGTTTAATGTGTTTGTTGTATACATAATGTAAACATAAGTTGTTAATATATTCAGCTTTTGGCAGATTCAATTAATTCAGGACACAAAATACAATTTTCCGCCTTTAGTACACAATACACTATTTTTAGCCATTCGATTATGACGACAAGACTTAGCCTACTTCCCCTTGTTAGTCATCAAAAGCTTGTGTGTAATCCGATTTTTTTCATAATGGAAATTTTTACTTTGTCATACAAAGACAAAATCTTATTATTTATACCCATAAACCGGCATAAGCTTGCACGTGAAATAAATTAACTCAATCATCATCGAGCGGCGGCGACATTGCAGCGAGAGTTGATTAACCGCACATAATAAAAGCGGGACGAAACTTTTTCCGCGTCCGCTTGTCGTTGATATTGAGCGCACGACCGCGCGACCTTTCCACCCGCCGCCTCATTCGCCCTGCGTCCTGCGTCGAAGGCGCATTATGATGTTCGAAATCACTTATTTCCGCACGTGCTGCCACGGCTATAACATTGCGATTATGAGACGTTTCACTCAAGCCGCCACTGACAGCTCCTGAATTTTCCAATCTGCTCGAATATCCCGTCTCTGATGTTCGACCCCAAATCTCCACGACAAAGAAAAATATTGCGGCCCAATTAAAGGTTAGCTCTACCTGAAACATCAAGCACGAAAACATGTTGTGAAGTGAAAACGTCACCTCTTGACAAACTCTGGAGAAAAAAAATTACAACAGCCCCTCGAAATAAATCGAGCGTACACATCGGAAGTGAGAAAACGAAGCCCGCAAAAGGTTAGCAAGCGGGGTGGAACGCAAACCCATCAGAAATTTTCCTCACTTTTACGCACTGATTTCAGTTGTCTAGCGAGCGAGAGCAGAGCGAGAGGAAATGTTTTCAGATAAAAGTGAAGCTATGAGTATATCGCACGCACTGCGCCTCTGCGTTGATAATGCTTGTGTGTTGTAACAAAGAGGCTGCCTTCACCCGCACGCGACAAAGGGGACCACGGAAAAGAGGGATGATCACGCGAAAAGCGGCCCGCTTCGAGGGAAATTGCACCGGCGGTAATGATCGTCTTCGCATTTTCACATCTTCTATCTTTGAGGCGCGACGCGTCAAAGCGCGCGTTAGGCGAAACAATAATTTTGATATCATTGTCGTCACCTTGTCATTTTATGTTCTTATATCCTCGAAAATATGAAATTGATAACAAAAAATAAACAACCGAGGAAAAACGATTTTTGAAGTGTAATGATATATTGTGAGCAATTTTTTCACAAAATCATTTTTTCTTAAAATGTTTTAATAATCATATTTTTTCGGGATGTAGAAAAATCAAAAAAAGCAAAAATTATAAAAATCGGTTTTTGCGTTCATGAATTATAAATAATGAAACACTACGGTCTTTTTATTCTAATTATAACTTGTATAAAAATGTTAAACCTTACCATTTTAAATGTTACCTCTTGAATACTCTGTAATGTTTGTTGTTTCTGTTTATATACATAGTAATTCCCATGCATCTAATTATAATAATCGCTTCTGAAGGATGAATCAAATATAGGAAGCAAATAACGACGTACAAAGTTATTTTAATATATAAACATAATACCCAAGTTTAACTTTTCGTTTCATAACCTCCTTTTCTAACCAATTTCATCCCTTGTGCAATGCATTGCGGTTCAAGCCACCAACTACTCGTTCGAGCGCCGCCGCCGAGTACCAGGCTATGAATGCGTAATTAGCAAGTTTTAATTAATGCGCAAGAGCGCAGCGCAGCAAAAGCGCGCTCCATCGCATACTCGGCGCCATGTTAAATAAACAATTCGTGTATTAAACGCATCTTCCATACCAGGCGCGGCGTTATTGCAAAATGGCTATATTATGGAAAATGACGATCTACATTTCGCGGAAATTTTCGCGCATTTCGCCGAATTGGTGAACCGTAATCAATGATTCGAATTATGTGAAATGACAGAATTAATTAAAATATCATATCGCACTTGTACGTGCGTAAATTTATGCTCTTAATTGAATTAACAGTTCATTCTTGCGTAATTACAACGTCGCGAGCGCATAACTCACATTAACATTAAATTTATTGATATGTTGACGTCGACGTCAATATCGTTTCTGTTTCGCTGCTAATTCCACTCGAAGGATCGAAAAGTGAATCACGTAAACACTTTCGCGTGGGTGGTACGACAAGAATGACGCACAACAATAAAACGGGTTATTATTGTTTATTATTTATTATATATTTAGATGCTTTGTTTATTCGATAAAAGCGCTGCTCGGGTGAATATGTCGTAAAACGTTCATTTTCCCCGCTCGTAAAAGTATATCCGTTCACAATCCATCGCTTCATTCCATCTCGCCAATTTTATAACGCAATAAACATGGACTATGAGAATTATCAATTATATGAGATTATAATATATGCGATTATTATTCGATTAAAATCATAATTCCGGAGGACTTTTAAAGTAAGGTTAGACATTTGTAATATTAAGCTGGATCCGAATTAATTTGAGTTTCAATCTGTTTGAATTTGCTTGAGATTTAAGCGCATAAATGCTTCCAAATGCGAGTGATTTGGTGCAATTCAAACGAAAGCTTGCCCTGTGCAAAGAATAAAGTTTAATAACAAATTTGATTTCTAATTTCGCTCGCTTTAATATGTATTTAATCCGCGCGTAACGCAGATCCCTCAAAACCTTCATCCCTTCTAGATCAAAGCGTTCGGAGTACTCTGCAATAATTGTATGCCTATTCACCGCGGCTGGGTCGACGCGCGTCGATAAATTCAGCGGGCTGTTTATTAAAATACATTATGTCATGACGCCGCGCTTCGAGCATATAATCAAAGATTAGTTCACGCCGCACGTTCGAAGCCTGAGATTACGTCAGGAGAGCAATAAAACATTAATAGTCCCGAGTCGCATCCACTTCTCGATTTGCGAGCTGAAATTAAAGCAAAAGACCCGATGTTAATGTTAATTAGCGTCTGTGCCTCCGGCGCTCCGGGCGCAATTCAGCTCGCAACGCGAATTGAATATTTCACCGCTGATTCAAAGGGGCAACAAGTAAGCAACGTGAATTTATCGAACTTCAACGTCATTAACCAACAGGTCTCGCAATCAAACCAAACCAAACTAAACCCAAGCCCACACACCTGATTAAACCCTTGAAACTATTTTTAAGGGGAAATATCAAAGTTTAATATTAATAACAAACGTGTTGGTGAAACTACCTTCACCCCTATTTACTCAAAGTTTGAAAGTCTTCACAAATCTTAATCAAGACATCATTGTTTGTTCCTGAAGCGTACGTACCGACCTTGTAATTTGTATTTCGGCCGAGCGCACCCGCCGCTAGTTTATTATTAACACATAAATTATTACGCGACCCTCGCAAAACGCAGCGCGCACGCAAGGAAAACGTCTTGAATATTTGATGCCAGCGGACGTGTGAAGCCGACTGAGCGCCGGAAAACTTTCCAACTCCCTTCAGAGTGATCCCCAAGATGCTAAACTACAAAAGTCGACACGTTTTCCATTTATCAAAAGCTCGCGTTAAACATAACCAAATCTAATAATACACGTATGTGTATTATGTGTTGCCTAATGAACTCCGCAATTGAATGTTCGATTGCACGCCAAGGATGCCGAAGCGGCAAATTCTTGGAGTTGCTCATGCAAATGCAGGGCTTGTTTGTTGCCTCAATGAACACAAATCTCGTTAGCACGATATTAACTAACTCGGGCATTGTGTGCGAAGGTGGCGCTTGTTTGCAACAATTGCTGATGCTAAGCATTAATCTACCAGCAAGATGCACTTTATATGTGTCAACTAGTTGCCGCTTACACGTCGGAATAATCTGTAAGCTCGTAAAATACAAAATGAATTCGATTGGTAATCCGCTTTGTATACCTTCGCGTATCTACAGGAACTTACTTAGGCAACTGCGGCTGCTGTAGCTATTGTACCGCCATGCTATTGTGTCTCTTGCGCAACGTGCTGCCCATAGACTGGATTAATTAGAGGCGGCTTAATTAAATTTGCCCGCGCGCCACTCTGCGAGGCCACCAGGACAACAACAACGATGATTCGATTCGATCCGCAATCGCGCCGGTGTAATCTTGACGCACAAGCATAGCCACACGCAAGGTTTAACCGAATCGTAATCAAAGTTCAATTTAAGCCTTTACGCAGTAGCGCTTCGAATTGACATAAACCGCAACTACTCATGCCAATACATTCTATTTATATACGGATAAAATGTAAAATGTGTTGCCTATAGTTCAGAAATTAGATATATAGGAAATACTTGTGTCTTTTGCGGCGTAAGGAAGCATATAATGAGAGGAAGGGATTGTTACGTCACGCTGCGGTTGTCCTGTACCAGGACAATGGCATTGTCCTCCATCTCGCTGGTAAAACTATACACTTGCGCCAGCCGTGTGCGTAGCTAACTGAATAGAAATGCGAGACAATGGAATGCTACTGCTGCCTCGGCGA